CATACGTACATAATAGAGATCATACGTACATAATAGAGATCATACGTACATAATAGAGATCATACGTACATAATCTCTATTATGTACTCTTGATAAATTGACCGGTCACTAGGACATCCTGCGATAACGATATGTAGATGATCGCAGAGACGTCACACGAGCCCGGGCTCAATGTATTTAATACATCAGTATAGTGTATAATATAGACACATCAGACTACATCCAGCTCATTTTTGCTGCATGGCAAAGGTCACATGATAACACAGCTCTAATGCGGCATATCAGGAGCTTATAAATGAACCATTTATAAGCTCCTGGGCATATGTACGTATGTGTGTTTTATTTATAGACGGCTACATTTCTGTGCAAAGTGCGAATTAAACGTTTCGCCGTACAAATATCTCTAACCTTGCTACACTTGATTCACTGCTTGATATAACTTGCACGTACAAGAAAACTGGAACCAGGGAAGTACGAAAGTAGCTCTAGAGTGCAAGGTAACCGCACACAAGTCGTTTGGTTAGATTACAAGCAACGCAAGGTAAGTGTCGTGTCAGAATACACGTTTTGCTGAGAAAAACTACACGAGCTGTTAGGAATAACCAAATTTAAACAATTCCTGTCCATGTAAAGATAAAACACATCGAAAACGATGATATTACGATCAGTATATTATATACCTAAACTCTTACGTAAGGGGCATAGACAACGGCGTAATCACATTATCATTGCACATAATAACAACCTTATAATGCCCTAATTAAGTTCAAACATGCATTATTTTGGGCACGTATAAAATATTATATATTATACGTTGAACATCTAGTATGGCACCATTACGAGTGGCTGTAATTGGAGCCGGGCCGTCAGGGTTGATTGCTGCCCGCATGCTTGCCTCACGACCACAAGATTTCGACTTCGAGGTTTACGAACGTGGACATAACATCGGTGAGTATGAATAAAATTAAAGCAATGTTTAGCCTAGTTGCGTTTGTAAGATGTGGCGGCATGCTTCTAACTGCGCTACGTAACGTAGAGCGTGACGTATGCAAACGAAATGCATATATGCCATAATTATGGTATACGTATGCCATATCAGCAGCTATCGAATCGGAGATATGTGGATGGGTATCCTATCCCTAGTCCATCTTTTATAAAGAAGATAGAAAGTTCACTTGACATGTTTCCCCCCATCCTCCACGCGGCACATCAGGATGCTAACACGCAGGTTGATCATTAGTACAGTCGTTTTAATTGCGCCTGCCTTAATTAGGAGGTACGTGGGTGTACACGGAGAGGACAGGGCTGACTGAAGATGGCTTCCCAGTACACTCAAGTATTTACAAGAACCTTATCACCAACCTACCTACGGATGTGATGGAATTCCCTGACTTTCCCTTCCCTTCGGATTCGAAGAAATTTATACATTGGAAAGAGGTGTGTATTGTTGGGTTCTAGTTAAAAATAATAGCGGACTTGACAACAATAACAGTGTAATTTATATAGAACCTGATGCAATGTAAACGTTATTTTCAGATTTATATTAAAACCTCGATTTCGTGATACTTTGCGTAGGTTCAAGACTACATTTTTGCCTACGCCGATCACTTCAACCTTCGCAAACACGTTCAACTGAATACAGACGTCACGTCTGTAAAACGCATCACCCCGAATCCAGTCTCATCAGGAGATGCCCACCAATCTCCCAACAGACCTCAGTGGTCGGTGCGCACGACTGCCCTTCAGGGAGAAGGCAGCGAGGAGAAGGTGTTTGATGCTGTACTAGTCTGCTCTGGACACTTTAGTGTCCCCCAATATCCAGACATTCCTGGTCAGGAGAGCTTCAGCGGGGTACAGCTGCACAGCCACGATTACCGCCATCCAGAACCTTATGCCGGTGCGCTCCCTAAATTAGTATAGATACCGGTTATTTTGTTATACGTGATACACCTAATATATAGTTAAGCATACAAGTGTATACGGGAATATTAAGCTGAAACAAAACCGCAAAACGCATACTTCGTATATTGCTGTAGTACATTATATCAGATGTCACGCCGCCGCACCGTCTACCGTAAAGTTTATAGACATTATTCTCTTCAGGCAAGCAAGTACTCTGATGGGAGCACTTGCCGTCTGCATTACATCATGAAAGATCTCTACCCTCACGATCCGAAGTGATCATATCACTCAGCGAGCTAAGACTCTAGCCTGGGTGAGCAAGTACAAAAAAGGCTCGTACCCACACAACTGAGGAACAAACGGATTCCCGCAGGCGACAACGGTAGCGTGTGACGTCACCGACGACACGCTCGAACCAGACGTGATTATTTTGCACCGGCTACAAAAGTATATCCGTTCCATTCCTCAGACGGCCTCGTGCGACTTCACTGTGTAGCGAGGGTACAAAGCATACAACATATTTAAAGCACATGATCCACACAGGACCACACGCTCATGTCACTCGCCATGGCGTAACAGCCCTTGAATCTCACTCGCTGTACCTACCAGATGCACGATTGTCGCTTACTGATCCTTGATGGGTCACTGGCGCTCCCTACGAGCAGTAATGAACAGGAGCAAACTAGAAGCTGACTACCGACGATCGGTTACTAGCGGACAGAAACGCCGCCACCCCCACAGTAGCGTATTCCCTCCCCGTTGCGATAACGGTGTAACTGCGAGTGAGATTGCCACTTTGCAAAGATCGTAAACGTCATGCCAGCCAAAGTACCGCTCCATTTGAAGCTGTCTTCGCTGGGCAAATATGCAAAAATGTTGATGACATATGAGGGACTACGCGACTCTGAATCCCATTTAGAGTGTCACCACAGTCCATAAGGCATAACCTCCAGAGTGGGCGCAACTCTAGCTGCACGGTGAAACATTCGATTAGGAGAATGTTTGCATATAGGATACGTAGATCGATATCCAGATGAGACGGGAGAACGACG